TGGTTTTCAATTTCTTGCTCTCTCTTTTCTCTTTCCAGTACTCCTATGGTGTGAATGTTGGTATACTTCCAGTTGTCCCAGAGGCTCATTACACCATCCTCATTTTTTTTATTACTTTTACTTTTTCCCGTTCTGATTGGGTATCTTGCTTACTTATATTCCAAATCTCTGATTTGATCCTCTGCTTCATCTACTCAACTGTAATTTATTTTTCCAGTTAGTATATTCTTCATTTCTGACTGTTCCTTTTTGTTTTCTATCTCAATTTTTTGTTTCCTATCTCTTTGTTGAAGTTCTCACTAAGATCATCTACTCTTCTCCTAAGTTCATTGAACATCCTTATAATCAGTGCTTTGAACTCTGCATCTGGTAAATTGTTTGTCTCCATTTTGTATAGTTCTTTCTCTAGAATTTTGTTCTGTTCTTTCATTTGGGACATGCTTCTTTGCCTACTCATTTTGACTGCCTCCCTGTGTTTGCTTCTCTGTATTAGGTAGAGCCACTTTGTTTCCGGATCTTGGTAAAGTGGCCTTATATAGTAGGTGTGTCATGTAGGACCCAGTGGCACAGCCTCCAGAGTCACCGGAGCTGGTCACTCTAGGTGCATCTTCCCCAACCAACAATGTAGGCTGTGTTTACCCTCCTGTTGTAGTTGAGCCTTGACTGCTGTTGGCATGTTAATGGAAGGGACTTACTGCCTGGCCAATGCTAAAGTAGAAAAGTTGTTGTTCAAGAGCCAAACCCATGGTGCAGGACTCGCTTCAGTGGGCCTCTGGTGTCCTCAGAGTCTGCCCCTTGAGTGTGTTCTTGTGGAAGTGGTTGGGTGGTGCTCCAGCATGGTCTGAAACTATCCACCAAGTGTGCTGGCTCTGGGGCCTCCCCAGAGGTGCAGGACAAAATCAGCAGCTGCATGTGCCCTGCCCGGGGCCACCTGGCATGAGCTACAGAGCAATCTACAGATGGCTGCTACTTGTACTGGGCTTTGAGGTACCTGGGAAAGGCCAAGTTGAAAACTGAGGCCAGCTACCACAAGTGCAAGGCCTGAGGCCACTAAGCAAGGGGTACAGGGCATGCCAAAACCAGATGCTGCTTGTTTGGGGTTTGTGAACCTTTGAGAGATTTTAGGAAAGTCCGCAGCATGAGCCAAAATAGGCTATTTGAATGGAAAAACCACTAGAAAGGAATTGGGTGGGCCCACAAGTTGGGTGGGGTAGGATATCAGGGAATCACCAGGGCAGAGCCAATAGTGTTTGCCAGGTTGATGGAGACACACCTGCCTGCCCTATGGTCAAAGGGCTTACCAAAGGAACAATGGCCTCTGCCAGAACTTCTTTCTGGGAGAAAGCTGCTCCTCCAACTCTCACCCCAAAGCCAGACAACTCAGTTCATCCCCTTATGTGCCTAGCACCTTTTGAGCTGCTGTCTAAGTGTTGGAGCTCAGAGCAAGTGAGTCTGAGTAAAGCTGGGCCCTTTAACAGAAACACCTGGGAATCCAGAGCCTTCATCTCACTGAGCCACAATACACCCCTGGTTTTTACAGCCAGAAGTTATAGGGACTTCTCTTTCCAGCACTGGAATCCTGGTGTGGGGTTGGGACCCCTTGCTCCGCAGGGGTGGCCTCTGCAGCCCAGATATCCCTCCCAATTCTTACTACCACATGTGGGTGTGGGACTAGCCATTGCAGTGTCTCCACCCTTCCTACCTAAAAATCTCAGTGTGGCCTCTTCTTTATATCCTTACTTGTAAGACTTCTTTTCAACTAGATTTCAGGTGGTTCTGAATGATGGTTGTTCTGTAGTTAGTTTTATTTTTGATGTGGTTATAAGTACTGCTTTTACCTCTTTCGCCATCTGACCAGAAGCCAGCCCTATTTCTAGATTACCCAACTGTTGTTCCAACTGACTAGTGCATTCTTATTTAAATGTTTGCAAATCATCCACTTAATTTTTTAATTTAAGTATAATTTTTTTTTTTTAATTTCCAGAATGTATTTACTTTCTACACCCTTCTAGGATCTTTCTGCTTCTTCATAAATTCTCAAAGATAATGTTTATCTCTGAGTACATCTGCCAGTTTCCTCAGTCTCCTGAAGCAGTCTCCCTAGACCTCCAGAAGGAATGCAGCTTTGCCAACACCTTGAGTTCAGCCCACAGAGACCCATTTTAGACTTCCAATTCCCAGAACTATAAGATAATAAATTTGTGTTGTTTAGAGCCATCAACTTTGGAGTGGCAACAGGAAACTAATACGGTCTCTGACTCAAAAACTCTTGGCTCAAAATTTTTCTGCCAGAGTCCTGCATTTATCTTCCAGATTCTTGTTCTGAGGATTTGATTTCCTAGAAGGCTGTCCTTTAATGTATTCCTGAACCAGCATGTGAAGCCTGAATGTGTTTCATCCCTCAAGACTCACCTTTATATCCTGTTTTGTTTTTTTTTTTTACCAGTAACTAACTCATATACCTATGTTTTTACTTCTATAGTCTCATAGTTCCCATCAAAATAAACTGGAGTCAAGTATAGCAGTAGCAGGTTTTGTAAGTAAAGCATAGAGAATCAATAACATTAAATAGAAAGTTTTTAAAATACTATAAATTAAAACTGCCTAGCTGCTTTAAATTAATTTAAACTTCCACATCCAGATGAACAACAACTCAAGTTTTAGCTGAGCCAATGAACATAATTTCAAAAGTTCTTAGATCAAGGCACCATAAAATTGGATATATTTCAATTCAGCCTTAATATTAAAAAGATAAATTGAGTGGGAAGGAAAACCCTAAAAACTAAAGACCAATTAGAAGTTTGACAGGGATTCATGTTTGTTTGTTTTTTTAATTAATTTATTTTTGTTACAGATGTTTCTCCTTTTCCCCCCACTGATTCCCCCCTCCCTCTCCCTCCCTGCACTGTCTCCAGCTTTGTTGTCCGTGTCCATTGTTCATGCATACATGCATATAAGTTCTGTGGTTTATCTCTCCCCCCACCCCTTCTTCTGGGGATTGTCAGTCTGTACCCCACTTCCACGTCTCTGGGACTACCCCATTCCTCCTGTTTTTAAATGAATCTATCAACACTTAAAGGCAACATAGGTTCTCCAAGATAAAACCATGCAAAATTTACCTTACACCCTTTTTTGAGAGGACAACTAACTTGATTATTTAATGAGAAAAATACTGAGGTGAGAGGATAAACTAAATTCAACCAAGTTTTCTTTGCTATCTGTATGAACAGATCAAAGATTCAAAACAATAGATAGTTGAAAACTCTGAATTCTCCACTGTTGTTGGAAATGTAAAATGATACAGCCATTGTAGAAAAGGTTATGGAGGATCCTTAAAAATTAAAAATACAAAAAGGGATCCAAATCGGAAAGAAGGAAGTGAAATTGTCATTATTCGCAGATGACAAGATACTGCACATAGAAAACCCTAGAGACTCCATCAAAATTCTACTACATTTAATAAATGAATATGGCAAAGTAGCAGGATAAAAAATTAACATCCAGAAATCCATGGCATTCTTTTTTTTTTAATTAATTAATTTATTTTTGTTACAGATGTTTCTCCTTTTTCCCCCACTGATTCCCCTTCCCCCTCCCTCCCTGCCCTGCACCCAACTTTGTTGTCATGTCCATTATTCATGCATGCATACATGCATATAAGTTCTGTGGTTTATCTCTCCCCCCACCCCCTCTTCTTGGTATTGTCAGTCTGTACCCCACTTCCTGTCTCTGGGACTACCCCGTTCCTCAGACTGTTATGTTCATTATATTCCACAAATAAGTGAGATCATATGACAATTGTCTTACTCTGTTTGGCTTGTTTCACTTAGGATAATACTTTCCAGGTCCCTCCATGTCGTCTCAAAGGATAAGAGATCTTTCTTTCTTACAGCTGCATTGTACTCCACTGTGTATATGTACCACTGCTTTTTATCCACTCGTCTACTGATGGACATTTGGGCTGTTTCCAGATCTTAGCTATTGTAAATAGTGCTGCTACGAACGTAGGGGTACATATATTCTTTCTGATTGGTGTTTCGGGCTTCTTAAGGTATATTCCTAGAAGTGGGATCACTGGGTCAAATGGCAGTTCAATTTTTAATTTTTTGATGTAATACCATAGTGTTTTCCATAGTGGCTGCACCAGTCTGCATTCCCACCAGCCGTGTACTAGAGTTCCCTTTTCTCCACACCCTTGCCAACATTTGTTGTTTGATGCTTTGTTGATGGCAGCCATTCTGACAGGTGTGAAGTGATACCTCATTGTTGGTTTAATTTGCATCTCTCTGATGATTAGTGATGTTGAGCATTTCTTCATATGTCTCTTAGCCATTTGTATGTACTGTTTGGAGAGGTGTCTTATTTAGTTCCTCTGCCCATTTTTAATTGGATTATTTGTCTTCCTTTTGTTGAGCTGTATGAGCACTCTATATATTTTGGAAATTAACCCCTTATCTGATATATCATTGGCAATTATGCTCTCCCACAGAGTGGGTTACCTTTCCATTTTGGTGGTTGTTTCTTTTGCTGTGCAGAAGCTTTTAAGTTTGAAGTAGTCCCATGTGTTCAATCTCCTTTGTTTCTGTTGCCTTAGGTGATGTATCAGTGAAAATTCTGCTGTGCATGATATCTGAAATTTTGTTGCCTGCAGTTTCTTCTAGGATTTTTATAGATTCATGAGTCACATTTAAGTCTTTTATCCATTTTGAGTTTATTTTTGTGTATGGTGAAGTTGATGGTCTAGTTTCATTTTTTTGCATGTAGCTGTCCAATTTTCCCAACAACATTTATTAAAGAGGCTGTCTTTACGCCACTGTATGCTCTTGCCACCTTTGTCAAATATTAATTGAGCATATTGTCTTGGGTCCATTTCTGGGTTCTCTATTCTGTTCCATTGATCTATCTGCCTGTTCTTGTGCCAGTACCAGGCTGTTTTGATTACAGTGGCTTTGTAGTATAACCTGAAATCTGGTAATGTGATCCCTCCAACTTTGTTCTTCAAAAATATGGACCACTTCACAAATTTGCGTGTCATCCTCGTGCAGGGGTCATGCTAATCTTCTTTGTATCATTCCAATTTTAGTGTATGTGCTGCCGAAGCAAGCACTATGGCATTCTTATACACCAATAATGAATACACAGAAAGAGAAGCAAGCCCATTTACCACTGCAACAACAACAACAACAACAACAACAACAAAATACCTAGGAATAAACTTAACCAAGGAGGTAAAAGACCTGTTCTCAGAAAACTATAGGACATTGAAAAAAGAAATAGATAAAGATATTAAAAATTGGAAACATATACCTTGTTCATGGATTGGAAAAACCAACATTATTAAAATGTCCATGCTACCCAAAGCAATCTACAGATTCAATGCAAACCCTATTAAAGTACCAACGGCATATCTCACAGATCTAGAATAAATACTCCAAAAGTTTATATGGAACCAAAAAGGACCCCAAATAGCCACAACAATCTTGAAAAAGAAGAACCACCCAGACGGTGTGGGTCAGTGGTTGAGGGTCAATCCATGCACCAAGAGGTCGCCAGTTCGATTCCTAGTCAGGGCACATGCCCAGTTTGTGGGCTTAATCCCCAGTAGGGGGCATGCAGGAGGCAGCCAATTGATGTTCTCTCTCATCAATGTATCCATCTCTCTCCCTTTCCCTTCCTCTCTAAAACCAATAAAAAAAAACTTTTTTAAAGAAAAAGAAGAACAAAGTAGAAGAGATCACAATACCAGATATCAAGTTATACTACAAAGCCATGGTAATCAAAACAGTCTGATACTGGCACAAGAACAAGCATATAGATCAATGGAACAGGACAGAGAACCAAGATATCGACCCAAGACAGTATGCACAATTAATATTGGCAAAGGAGGCAAGAGCATACAATGGAGAAAAGACAGTCTCTTCAATAAATGGTGTTGGGAAAATTAAATAGCTATATGCAAAAAAAATAAAACTAGACTACCAACTTATACCATACACAAAAATAAACTCAAAATGGATAAAAGATTTAAATGTAAACCATGAAACCACAAAAATCCTAGAAGAAAATGTAGGCAAAAAAATCTCAGACATCATATGTAGAGGAATTTTCACTAATACATCACCTAGGGCAAGAGAAACAAAGGAAAAAAATAATAAATGGGACTACATCAAAGTAAAAAGCTTCTGCACAACAAAAGAAACAAGCATCAAAATGAAAAGGGAACTCACTCTCTGGGAGAACTGATTTGCCAATGATACATCAGATAAGGGGTTAATATCCAAAATATATAGAGTACTCATACAACTCAACAAAAGGAAGACAAACAATCCCATTAAAAAATGGGCAGAGGACCTGAACAGACACTTCTGCAAACAGAACATACAAATGGCCAGGAGACATATGAAAAAAATGCTCAACACCTCTAACCATCAGATAAAGGCAAATTAAGACAACTAAGAGATAACACCTCACACATGCCAGAATGGTGGCCATCAACCAATCATCAAACAACAAATGCTGGCGAGGATGTGGAGAAAAGGGGACTCTAGAACACTGCTGGTGGGAATGCAGACTGGTGCAGCCACTACGGAAAACAATATGATGTCTCCTCAAAAAATTAAAAATGGAACTGCCATTTGAGTCAGTGATCATGGGATATATCCTAAGAAGCCTGAAACACCAATCAGAAAGAATATATGCACCTCTATGTTCAAAGCTGCACTATTTACAATAGCTAAGATCTGGAAACAGCCCAAGTGCCCATCAGTAGATGAGTGGATAAAAAAATTATGATACATTTACACAATGAAATTTTTTATACAGCTGTATGAAAGGGAGATCTCTTATTTTTTGAGACAACATGGAGGGAACTGAAGAGTATTATGCTAAGCAAAATAATCCAGTCAGAGCAAGACAAGTACCACATGATCTCACTTATTTGTGGAACATCATGAACAAAATAAGCTGTCGACCAAAAGAGATCCAGAATCATGGAAGCAGGAAACAGACTGACAAACCTCAGAGGTATGGGGTTAGGAGAGGTGGGAAAAGATAAACCAAAGAATTTGTATGCATATATGCACAACCAATCAACATGGACATTAGGCTGGGGAAGGCAGGCGGCGGGTGGGAGTGGGAAGGAGGAGGTCAGTGGAGAAAAAAGGGGAACGTCTGTAATACTTTCAACAATAAAAATAATTTTTTAATAAAAAAAATTAAAAATACAATTAGCAATATGATTCAGCTATCCCAACATTTGGTGATATACTGAAAATAATTCAAAGCAGGATTTCGAGAGATATTAGCACACCCATGTACAGTGCAGCCTTTTTCACAACAACCAAGTGATGGAAGCAGCCCAAACGTCATCACAAATGTATGGATAGTTAAAATTTGGAATATACACATAATGGAATACTATGTAGCCTTAAAAAGGAAAGAAATCCTGGCACATGCCACAAGATGGATGAAACTCATTAAGCAAAATAAGCTTAATGAGCTTAAGCTTAGTATAACGTCACAAAAGAACAAATGCTGCATGATTCCACTTAAATGAGGTATCATTCATAGGAGTCAAAAATCACAGAAACAGGAAGTAGAAAGGTAGCTGCTAAAGGCTGGAGAGAAGGGGAATTAGTATTTAATGAGTATAGAGGTTTGGTTTTGCAAGAAGAAAAAGTTCTAGAGATCTGTTGCACAACAATGTGAACATACTTAATACTACTAAACTGTATATGTAGAAATAGTTAAGAGGGTAAATTTCATTTTATGTGTCTTTTACCACAATAAAATAAACAAATTAAATTTACCAAAAAATACACACACAAAAACCTTGAACTGAAGAAACAAGATGATTTGTAACAAGAATAAATTTTAGTCCTACTGATTCAAAGGCATTAATCATGCATAAGACCTTGGGAACTGTGTCCTTTTAAGAAAAGGCTGAAAAATAAGACCAGGGAGGCATATTTAACCTAAGTAAAGGAAGACTAAGTGAAACCTAAAATAATTAGCACAGAGAAGGGAACCTAAACTTATTCTGTGCTTAACTAGACTAGAGAGTTTATGATCCATTCAACGAATGTTTATGGAATGTAAACAATGTGGCATGCACTGTTCTAGGTGCTTCAAAGTATCAGTGAATGGACAAAGATCCCTGCCTTTGTGGAATTTTATATTCAGTGGGAAGAGACAGACAAGCAATAAACATAATAAGTAAGTGTGGTAGGCACATTTAATTGGCTCCTGATAATCCCTGGTATCACACTCTTAGGTCATTCCTCCCCTCTGTGTAGATTGGACTTAAACAGAATACAGCAAAAGTGATGAGATGTCACTTCTGAGATTAGGTTAGAAACACTGTGATTCTGTCTTGCCCACACACTCTCGCTCTCCTGACTGAATGCTATGAACTACCCAGTAGAGAGGCCATGTGAAGAGACAAGGAACTGAGGGCAGCCTCCAGCCAAAAGCCATCACTGAACTGAGACCCTCAGTTCAACATCCCACAAAGAACTGAACAGCCACATGAATGAGCTTAGAATGGATTCATCTCCAGCTGAAACTTGAGATGACTGCAGCCCTAGACAACACCTTCAGTGCAGCCTGTGAGAGATCCTGAAGCAGAGAATCTATACAGACTACTGACAAACAAAAACTATGATAATAAATGTTGTTTTAAACCACTAATTTATTGAATAATTGGTTTATGCAGCAACATACAACTAATACAATATGTTAATCATACAATATGTTAAAGAGAGATGCAAAAAAATGTAGACCAGGGTAAAGGTGGGAGAGTGTGAGTTACAGTTTTAAAAAGGAGTGCTATAGCCCTTGGCTCAGAGGTTAGAGTGTCGACCTGCGGTCCAGAGAGACCCGGGTTCAGTTCCCGCTAAGGGCACGTGCTTCGGTTGCAGTTTGTCCCCAGCCCTGGTTGGTCGTGCGGGTGGCAGCCACTCGATGTGTCCCTTTCACATCGATGTTTCTCTCTCTCTCCCTCCCACTCTACCTGAACAAAAAATGGAAAAATGTCCTCCAGTGAGGATTAAAAAAAGAAAAAGGAGTGCTACAAAAACTTGCAAGTGAATGCTTATAGCAGCATTATTCAGAACAGTCAAAAAATGGACCCAAATGTCCATCAATTGGTGAATGGATAAACAAAATGTGGTATATTTATCCAAGGGAGTATTAGCCACAAAAGGAAATGAAATACTGAGACATGCTACAACATGGATGAATCTCAAACGTATTATGCTAAGTGAAAGAAGCCACATATTATATGATTCAATCATATGAAATGTTCAGAAAAGAACATTATACAGCAGAAAGTAGTGTAGTGGTTACCAGGATCTAGAGATAAGAACAGGGTTAACTGTAAATAGCATGAGGAATCTTACTGGGTGATGAAATCATTCCAAAACTGGATTGTGGTGGTGGTTGCTCAACTCAGCAAATGCATTTTATCACCGCACTGTATACTTAACACAGGTGAATTTATGGTATGAAAATTATACCTCAAAAAGTTTTTAAAAATCAGGCATGTTAACACAGGCAGGACTGAAAATATGACATATGAGGAGAAACTTTAAAGAGGAAGGGTAATAGGCATGCAAATATTTAGGGGAACTATGCCAGGCAACAGGAAAGCTATATACAAAACCTAGGGCACAAGCATACCTGGTGTGTTGGCAGCACAGCAAAGGTGGTAGTGTGGCTAGAGGTGAGTATCTTTAGACAGGAAGGCAGGAGATGAAGTGAGAAAAGTAATGATGGATAAAGGATGGTGGTGACAGAAATCACATAGAGCACTTTATGCCACTGGCTTTTACCATGAGATTAAAAGAGACGCATATGAAAGTTCTGGGCCAAGGAGTGAAATGATCTGACTTGCATTTCAAAAGGACCATACAATATAAAGAAACTATTTTTAAAAATTACAAAAAGCTCCATATCAACTAGCTACCTCCAGAGTTAACCTCTTGTATCTGACTGAGACACTGAAGAAGGTCTACACTGAAAAGAAGGGTAAACTTGTCTGTCTCAAAAGGTGGCCTGTGAGTCACCTGCATCAAAACCCCCAACTTCTGAATACTTGGGCTGGGGATGTGAGACTCAAAATTTTACAAACTTCTCAGGTGATACTTCTGAGAAACACAATGAACCAGATAAACATTAAGGCCCCTTCAAAAGCTAAATTATGAGAAAGTATGTAGGCAACCTGAACCATGTTTATCTAAGGAAATGGCTAGGGCTTATTATAAACAGACATCTGAATTGATTATTTTATTTTATTACAGATAAAGTGGCTTTTTTCCCCATTCTCAAAAAACCTTACCCAGTTGTTTTTTTTCCCAGCGTAAATTTCCATGTTCTCTCCATACTGCGGCTCTTCCAGCAATGTCTGGTACTCAAACATGAGACGGGAGCTCTCGCGCAGACGGCTGCATTGAAATTGGTGATACTGTTGCACGAGTTCCTTCACCACAAGTAAGAGACATTCAGGATTTGAAGGATTCCAGGAGGATAGATTCTGTAGAAGCCATAAATAAAAGACTAGTTAAAATGAATTTTCATACAAATCCTGTATCACATTAGTACATCAATACAGAATGAAAGAACAATGAAACTCTAAGAGGAGCAGACTACTCTTAATTGGCGATAAACTCAGAGCTGAAGTTAGAAGAGTCCTCTCAGCTTGGTGATTTCTCCTGCCTTCTAAAAAAACTGGCAGAAAAATCAAGAGAAATTCCATCACGAGTAGCCAGAAACAGTAAAGTGTAAAGCAGGGTAGTAATAAACAAGAATCTTAAATATCCTAGAAGACCATAATTTTAGCTCTGGAAGACTTAATTTGTTTCTTACTCTTTTATAAAAATTTTCATTTTTTAATCTGCACCTAAATTCAGCATTATATGCTAATGTCATCAACTCGGATCCACAGACCATCTGTAATACCAGATATAAATAAATGTTCTGTACACACTAGAGCTCCACAGAAATATAAGCACAATGGTGATGGTTCAGCCTGAAAAAGACAAGAATGAGTAGAGATGAGGCAAAATACAATTAGGAAATGAAAGGTCAGAGAAAAAGGGGAAAAAATGGCTGTGAGAGCTTATGACCAGGAAAGGACTAGGAATGAGAGGAAAGCTGATAAGCATATACTAATTTTTACACATTCATACATTCAACAACTATTTACCAGGTGCCTATTATGTATGTATCACTGTTCTTGGCAGTGATGAGAACAAGCCAAGGCGTTGCCCTCAAGGAGTTTTCATTTTAGTGGGCTGAAATAAATAATAAACAGTTTATAAATATGTCAGATGGTGATCAATGCTACTTAGAAAAATAAAAGCATGCATCCCAGAAGCCTAGTAAAGAAAGTACTTCAAGGAGAAAGACATGACCAGCTGTGTCAAATGGTGTTGATAAGTAAGATGAGGCCTGAGAACTGACTGCTGGGTCTAGTGACACGCAGCTCAATCATGCCCTCAACAAATCTTACTTGGTGAAGTAAAGCTCGATTGTCGAGGGTTTGAGAATGGGCAGAAAGAAACAGCAGCTAGCTATACTGACAATTCAATCTGGTAACTAGAAGGGAGTGTGAGGTCAAGGGAAAGTTTTGCTCAGATAATTATAGCCTAACGAAATGTCGGTGTAGGGAGGGGATAAACATGATGATGCAAGGTGGGGGGCGCAGAATATCAGGAGAGAAAATAAATAGGTAGCTAGAAATGGGATCTCATAGAGGAAAGACTTTAGAAATAAGAAGACTCCATCGAAAGGAACAGGAGAAAAGTCAAACTACATGAGTGTGAATGCAGGCAGGTCGTTCCATGTGGGGAGAGGAGCTTGTGGCAGTTCGCTCCTGGGAGCTTGTATGTTCTCCTTGACGTAGGAAGGAAGGTCATCAGCTGACAGTGAGGAAGAAGGAACGGATATTGAAAGTTTGAGAAGAAAGTGTAAAAGAGTCATTTAGAAGAGTTATTTAGAAAAATAAATGGACTGAGGAAATGAAGGAGGAATTCCACATAGCACTAAAAGCTCCACTGAGGTTGGAGGTATGATTATTAAGTGAGACTGATTAGCATAAATTCCACTGTCGGGGAGCAATGTGGAGTGAGAGGAATTTGAATTTAACAAAGGTTGGGATTTTGCCAGACAAGTACAACAGACAGAAAGAGAGGCAAGAGAGCTTAGAAAGTTTGCAAAACAATGATTATAATTATGGACCATGCACTTTAAGCCAGGAAAAAGCCAAGTAATTTAATGAAGAAAGTGAGAGTTAGTGAAAAGTTGAGAGGACCAATAGGTCTGGTGAACTGGAAGAATTGTTGGAGTTGAGACACTGAAAAGAATGAATTGGAAAGACAAGAGGTATAGTCAGAGAATGGAATGTTTGCAACGGAGATGACGGATATGATCTGTAACTGGTATTAACAAGGGTTAAGACTGTGCCTGGCTAAGGGAGAGAGGAGGACGAGATCACTGAAGGAAAAGAAGTCAGGGACTGACTGAGAGGCCAGGGTGTTGGAAGGGTTATTAATATGAACATTAAATCACCTGAACCATGACAAGTGCAATAATACAGAGAGAGTAACAACAAGCCATGTGCTAAAATCTGCAATGAAGGTCTATGGATAACAACAACAAGGAGGTATTGATGGGTCCTATAGTCTGAAGGCATGAGTTTCAAAGATGGGGATAGGAGATTAGAGATAAGGAACTGACGTTTTCCTTGGTAGCAGCATGGAAGAACAAGGAAAACACCTACCACATCTCCATATATTATTATTATCATTTTATAGATGGGGAAACTGAGGTAAAAAGTAGTTTAATATCTTATCCAAGGTCACAGAGCTATTAAACAATAAATCTGGGTTCACAGAGCTATTAAACAATAAATCTGGGTTTCTGACACACAATTTGGTTCCAAGTTCCTCCTTAAGCACTACATCAGATGTTCTTACACATTTTCATCTCAGGAACCTTTTACACTCTTAAAAAGTATTAAGGATCCTAACTTTTGAATATATGAATTACATGATTAAATTTACTATAGAAAATGAAAATTGAGAAATTAAAATTTTTATTTATTCATTTTAAAATAACAAACCTACTACATGTTACCATAAAAATATTTTAATGAGATAATTATATTTTCTGAAAAAATAGTGAGAAGCATGACATTGTTTTATATTCTTGCAAATCTCTATGTCTGTTTTTTTAAAAAGCTGGATTCCCCTATATGCTTTTACAAAACTCAATGTTGCAATATGTTATTTTGGCTGAAGTATATAAAGAAAATCCAACCTCATTCAAATATGTACTTTGAAAGAGAGAGGATTTTTACTAGCCTTTTCAAATAGTTCTGGATATTCTTCTTTGATACTGCATCAAAACTCAACAAGTGGTAGTTCCTTAAAGGTTAGTTGCAATGTGAAATCTGAAGGTATATTTGTAAACATTTCATATTCTTATATTAAATTCCATTTGTCTATCCTGCACTTTAAATTTTTTTCAATTACAGTTGACATACAATAATATATTAGTTTCAGTTGTACAATACAGTGATTAGACTTTTATATAACTTCCAAAGTGATTACCCCAACAAATTTAGGTCCCGTCTGAGGACCATACACAGTTATTTCAATATTATTGACTATATTCCCTATGCTGTACTTTACATCCCCATGACTGCTTTTACAACTGGCAATTTGTACTGCTTAATCTTTTCACCTTTTTTTTTTTTTTTTTTTTTTTTTAATCCTCACCCGAGGACATTTTTCCATTTTTTGTACAGACAGAGTGGGAGGGAGAGAGAGGAAGAGAGAGAGAGGGAAACATCGATGTGAAAGGGACACATCGAGTGGCTGCCACCCGCACGACCAACCAGGGCCGGGGACAAACTGCAACCAAGGTACATGCCCTTAGCGGGAACCGGAACCGAACCCGGGTCTCTCCGGACCGCAGGCCGACACTCTAACCGCTGAGCCAAACCGGCCAGGGCCTTTTCACCTTTTCACCCATCTCCCAACTGCTTCCCATCTGGCGACCAGTTTGTTCTCTGTGTTTATAAGTTTGTTTGTTTTGTTTGTTTTTTTGGATTCCACATATAAGTGAAATCACATGGTATTTGTCTTTCTCTGACTTATTTCACTTAGATTTTAAATGGATTCTTTACCCTTGTATGATTTTTGTACCGTCATTCCATTGGTCATTTAGAAAATACTGATTCACTGAGTTATGCAGATCTCCCAAATGTTGACATGTTTCATTTATACAATATCAAATAATCATATTCATTAATATCATGCCCAATCTCACCAGAAAAGTCTTCTATTAAAAGAAGACAAACAAAAATTTAAAAAATGCATCCTTTAAAAGGATAATCATTACTTTGCTCTACAGAGTGTATAGATTTAAAGGGACTAAATGGCAATGGGGAAATCATTAAATGTTCTTTTCGTTATAGGAAAGATGGTTCTAAAGGGATATTCAAATAAAAATTTGATGAACAGAGGAAAAAGAGCTTCAGCATCATACAGTGATTAAAAGAGGCCTCTGCTATGAAGTAATTTGTCCTCACTGGCAAACCTTTTGACCTCAAGGGCCTGAAAATTTCTTTTGAGCTATTCAAAGTTTCAATAGGATAATAACATTATATAAAACATTAAATGATCATGATGTAGCTTGCCATGCATTTTCTTCAGAGATCAAACATTAATAAATAGAAAAAATACACAACATTCCATTGCTTGGTCAAGATTTCCTTTTAAGTCTTTGTTCCATTACAAAAACAATAGGCTTTAATTGATTCATTAAAAAAAAAGTTTTTTTAATTCAATCATTTCTTTTTAGCTCTTTGCAAGTTACAAGCATATTATCTATACACACACACCAAAAAAACAATTATGAAAGCATATAAGCGGGCAAACATCTCTTACCAATTTGAATTCATTTCAATTGATTCTACCTAATTGTTAAATGCATTGTAAAGACAGGCCAACCAGTCTCTTTCCATTAAAATATAATCTCCCAAAACATGGAAATGTATCTGACCTCTTCGGCCATTAAATGCACACTTCCCGGGAAATGACTTAGCTAAAAAACATCCCCATCAAGGGAGATACAGATCTGCTCAATAAGATAAAATGTCCTCCCTACAAACAAGATTACTCTATCCTGCAAAGCTATCATTTAGAATCCATGGACTTATAAAGAGTTTCCCAAACAAGAAAAAGATAAAGGAGTTAATCACCACCAAACCAGTATTATATGAAATGTTGCAGGATCTTCTTGAAAAGAAGATAAAAAATATAAACAATAAAATGGCAATAAATACATATCCATCAACAATTGAATCTACAAACAAAATGAACAAGCAGAACAGAAACAGACTCATAGATACAGAGAACTTTTTGATGGTTACCAGATGGGAGAGGGGTTGGAGAGATGGGCAAAAAAGGTGAAGGGATTAGAAAGTAGAAATTGGTTGTTAGACTGATGAATTTCAAAAGGAAGGGG